AACCTTCCCTTTTGCATGATTCTTGCCTTCTTGAGCCCCTTGCACAAATTTGGAAAGAGTAACAAGACTGTCATGAGTTGCATTGGGCCTTTACATGTTTGAAATTACAAGCCCAAGTCCTTACACATTTATCTCATATTTTATTTTGATTTTATTTGCTTTTAAATAAATAAAAATTCAAATAAAAAAATCATGAAAAATATGTGAATGGGTTTAGAGGTCCTATATCATCTTATGAACATGTTTGAACATAAAAAATCAGGTCCACTAGTTTAAAATCTCAAATTTGCTCATTTTATGTTTCATGAATATCCTCAAAATTTCCCAACTTGTGAAACTCATAACTTGCTCAATTTTCATATTTTGAAGATGATCTTGGACTTTTTTCAAAGCTCAAGATGTCCTCTACATGCTATCTTTTGATCATTTTTGCATTTGGAGACTTTATCTTAATGTAAGTTGCCTTGACAAAATGTGTCTTTTGTTGACTTTTGAAAATGACCTATAATGTATTAGCTCATATCTTTCAAATGAAGCATTTTTTGGATTTGAGCATATAAACAAAGTTGTGGTGAATTGAATTTTCTTCAAAATGGACTTTGGTTGGGGAAAAATTGATGAAGCATGTGAAAGTTATGTTTGGTCAAAGTTCAGTTGACTTTTCTTAAGGAAACCCTAATTTGACAATTCTTGACTTTTGATGATTTGAGGGCTTCTCTTGAGGAATTATGATCAACCCTTAATCAAATGATGAATATCACTTCAAAATGTTGATGTTGACCAAAAATCTTGAAGTTTGACTGTATGTTGACCATAGTTGACTTTTTGCTCAATATAGTTGATTTTCAATCATCTGAGTCATTGACTGAGCAAACTTGTGATGTAGGACTTGAAACTTGACATGAACCTTAATGAGGACCTATGAAGAACCATGGAAGTCACTTGAGACTTTTGCAAACCGAACTTTCCTGAGGAACTTAAAACCCTAATTGTAGACCTTTGGCTTAGGAGGTGAGTTGATTGGTCATCCCTTGAGACTCTTGAGTATTTGAGAAGACTTGAAATAATATCTTGAGAAAATGGGAGGAAAAATTTTGGGGTACAACAGATTGAAATTAGGAGTATATTTTCGATTTTGTTCTTCTCTTTTAAATAGGGTGAAACTATATTTGATCTGTTTGTGTGTAAAGTATGATATGTACCAGAAATATATATTTGATTTCTGAAAACATTTTAGAGAATGCTTAGAGTACCTCCAACTGGAGGATTTTTCTTGGTTTTTCCACCTGGCGTACAGAGTATTAAATTTTGTTGCCGTTGGAGACATGTGACCTGTTCAACCGTTCCTATACAGTGCAATAGTAGTTTCTATTAAAATATTAATATAGTTTAAATTTTGATTGTAACGTCTCTTTCTATTTTTTTTTTCTTTTTTTAAAAACATTTTTAGTTAGCTATAAATACACCCTATTTGAAAAATTTTACACACAAATTTTCTTTCACACTTTTATTTTCTCTTAAGTTTTCAATTTTTCTCTCAAAATTTTATCACTTTACTCTAAATTTTGAAATTTCTCTCTTACAATTTATTCTCATTAGCCTTCATTTGACAATATATTTTACCCAAATTTTTACCTTTTTACTTCAAAATTAATATTTTTTAGGCCAAATGGATCCTAATCAATTTAATTATCAACAATCTATGTTCAATTTCATGCAAAATTTTCAAAATCCTAATCCTCAAAATTCTCAATTCCCATCGATGCCAACAAACTCCGCCGCTTTTTTCCGTCATCAACCGGAAACACTCCGCCGCATTTTTTCCGTCACCAAACTCCACCATATGGTCAACCATCTATGGAATTTTTTCGTCATGAACCGAAAACATCGATTGTGTCTATGTCCGAAAGTCAAGTTCCACCATTTTCAACTCAAGTCGGTATTGAAAAAGAAGAAAGTCGCCCTGTTAAAAAAAAGCTCGAGAGGTATTTTCAAGGGATGAAGATATACTTCTTATCCAATCATGGCTCAATGTTTCAAAGGATTCAATTGTAGGAGTTGATCAAAAAGCTGAGAGTTTTTGGTTAAGAATCACTACCAATTATAATGAGTATCGTGGACAATCGCGGGAAAAGCTATGTGGGCAATTAAAATCTCGATGGCATCGAATAAATGACTTGGTTCAAAAAAAATTTGGGTGTTACAAACAAGCTGTTAATGTTAAGAAAAGCGGGACTTCGGAGAAAGATATTTTGGCTGCTGCATATGCATTTTTTGCTCAAGATGAAGGTACACCATTCAATCTTGAGTACGCATGGCGATTGTTAAAGGATGAACCTAAATGGATGAGAGCATCGACCGAAAATTCTTCAAAAAGAACAAAGAATTCTGCTAGTGGGGCACACTCATCATCGTCTAATCTCGCGACACCTTCAAGTTATGAGTTTAACTCATCATCACCAATGGAGCGTCCAATGGGACAACAAGCAGCAACAAGAAAGAGTACGGCAAGGGAAAATGCATTTGAATCACCTTCTATTGTTGTGCAAGAAACATGGAATAAAAGAGTAGCGACAATGGAAAGACTAGCACAATGTAAGGAGGATGAGATGGAGTATAAGGCAATGCAATTACTCTCGAAAGACACTTCTATGATGAATGATAGTCAACGAGATATTCATGAAAAATATTGTAATAAGTTGAAAAAAAATATGGATTTTAGTTATGATGAAAAGATGTAGTACTTATTATGTATCAACACCTATGTAAAATGGTCATTAGTACCAATTTAATTTATAATAAATATTATATTGTTATTCAAACTAGCCGTTATTTAAACTAGCCGTTATTCAAACTAACCGTTATTCAAACTAGTCGTTATTCATATATCACTATATAAATGACCACTCTTCTCATTATTTTCTCATTCTTCTCTCAATCTTCTCTCATTCTTCTCTCTTTTTTCTCTCATTCTTCTTTCATTCTTCTTTCATTCTTCACTCACTTTAATGGATTCAGACAGTTCAGATGATCTCTTTTGGGACTTGATTGAAGAAGAATTTATGGACAACACTGATGAAGAACTACTAAAGTCAATGCTCGAGAAGGAACATCAATCTGGAAGTTCCTCTAGGCCAAAGATAAGAACAATGATAGATCGAAATCGTGAAGAAGGGCACAATCGTTTATTTAATGACTACTTCTCGGAAAATCCAGTGTACACAAATGTTCAATTTCGAATAGGGTTTAGAATGCATAGGCATGTGTTTCTTTGAATTGTAGCCGCCCTTGAAAATCATGATGAATATTTCCGAATGAGGGTCGATGCAACTGGTAAAATGGGTCTTTCACCATTGCAGAAATGCACATCTGCTATTCATATGTTGGCATATGGGTCTCCTGCTGACAGTGGGGACGAATATGTTCGAATCGGTGAAAGCACTTCAGTTGAGTGCTTAGAAAGATTTGTTCGGGGCGTGAATGTTGTATTTGGGGCAGAGTATTTGAGAAAGCCTAACAACACAGATGTTGCACATCTCTTACAAATGAGATAGTCACGTGGCTTTCCAGGTATGTTAGGTTCCATTGATTGTATGCACTGGGAATGGAAAAATTATCCTGTTGCATGGAAAGGACAATTTTGCCGAGGCGATCATGATAAGCCCACAATCATGCTTGAAGCAGTGGCATCACAAGACTTATGGATTTGGCATGCATTTTTTAGTACAGGTTCAAACAATGACATTAATGTGCTAAACCAATCCAATGTGTTTAACGATATTTTGGAAGGACATGCTCCCACTATGAACTATACAATCAATGGAACATCATATAATATGGGGTATTATTTAGTGGATGGTATATATCCTGAGTGGGCTACATTTGTCAAGACTATTTCAATGCCGCATGGAGAAAAGAGAAAACTATTTACTCAACATCAAGAATCAGCTAGAAAGGATGTGGAGCGGACATTTGGAGTGCTCCAATCTCGATTTGCAATTATACGTGGCCTAGCACGTGCCTGGCATATGGAAATCCTCAAGCATACCATATATGCTTGTATCATATTGCACAACATGATCGTTGAAGACGAACGCCACACATACGAAGGTGATTTTAATTACTCTTATGATAATGTAGATGACACCTACTCAACAACTGAAACATTTAACGATCCTCATCCGAATCTTGCAACAAGACTACAAAGAAGAGCAAGTCTTCGTGAAAAACAAGTTCATCGCCAACTTCAAGGAGATCTAGTCGAGCATATTTGGGAATGTTTTGGACATGAGAATGATGAAAATTAAATTTGAGTAATTCTCTTATGTTATTTATTTTTAATATTTTTAATTATATGTCATGTATTTGAGATTAATTTTAATTATCATTTTAAATTTTATGTTTAATTTTAATTTGATTTATTTTATATTAATTTAAATTTAGATAATTATTTTAAATCAAATAAAATTTAATATGAATAAAATATTAATATATAAAGTAAAGATGATGTGACCTAATTTGAGTTCTTTAGAGTTGCACCATTGAAGTAAAAATTGAATGAGTTGCTTAAAGATGATGTGGTTTAATGAGTCCCACGAAAATCTAAAAATTGGATTGCACCATTGGAGGTACTCTTAGAGTTTTTCTTTTCAATATAGGGTGGAAAGAGAAATTGCGTAATAGAAAGTCCAACGAAGCCCAACAATAATACGCGCAAAAGGTTAGTGGGCCGGATCTCATTCAGAGTATCGTCCGGGTGGTTTTTCCTCCACAGATGAACACGAAGAATCATTACATTCGAGTGTGGAACGTATAGGAAAACAATAACAACACAAACAATTTCACGACTGTTATATTCTTCGCAAGTCTCTCCCGATTTCACTCTCAATTTGAAATCGCAAAGAAAAATACATAAAAGGAAGAGATTTCAATTTTCCAAGAGGAACAATTTTTACGTAAGCTTCTGAAAGGGAGAGAATTAGGGTTTCCAGTCTTCCAAAATGAAGACGACGAAGGGTGGTAAAGTTATGAACCCTACCGATGCTTATCGGAAGGAGATTCGCAAGAAGGAATTGAAAAGGGTTTGTATTTTTCACTTTAATTCCTTCGGGTTTAATGTAAATTTGTTCATAATTTTCTCTACTCTATGACCTAATTTGTTCATAGCATGTTTCAATAAGTTAATTGAAATTGTGAATGTGGGTGTGTAAATTGTAAATTTGAAATTAAGCAAGCTTTAAAGTTTTCTGCTCTAATTAAAGTTTGTATTTTTGTTGTTGTTTTGATTTATAGAATAAGAAAGAAAGAAAGAAGGTGAGGGAGGTTGGGATCTTGAAGAAGGATCCTGATCAGCTGAAAAAGCAGATTGATAACTTGGAAATGATGAGTAAGTCATGCTTTATTTGTAGGAAGTGGAATTTCAGTTTCACCTCGTTTGCATCACCATCAGCATTATGTTCGCAAGATTTGTTTTAACCCGAATGCTAGTAATTAGTTGGTAGAAATGTCACTGCACCGTTCAAACTTGCAAACCCTTTTATGTTCCTCTTCTTAAACCGCCAAACTAGTTTATTGCTGTTGGCAAAATGTTTTTTGAGCATTGAAAATAACTGCTCCATCATATATCTAGTAGTTGTCACAGACTCATGGTTTGAACAGTCTCTTCCATATGCGAACTTGTGAGAACTAATTTACAGACAGTAGGAGCAGGCAATCATATGAATGTAATATAGAACCATGGTTGTCGGGATCTAGCTCTAACTCCCAAAATCTTACGATCTTACGCTCCGGCAACCGGCCACCGATTTTAGTGGCACAAAGATCTTAGATTTGGCTGGAGCGTTGAACTCCTAGAGAAAGATCTTTAAATCGTGGGATCTTGAGATCCCAACGATCCATTTTTTGTTTTTACCCGCTTTAGACCCGTTTCAACCCGGTCATTAAACAATTGGAATCAGCCCATAAACTGACCCATAATTAACCCTGACTGTTTCTGACTGTTGTGCACACATATTTTAGGGTTTTGGGACTTGCAATGTTTTAAATGACCTTCTATTATGTTTTTTTTTTTATAAAATATTTGCTATTGATGATTAAATTAATGAGAATTTTACATTAAAGTAGTTATTTCTATAATTTTGTCTATTTGTTGGGATCTTACGATCCGTGTTACGATCCTACGATTTACGTTTTTTCTATACCCTAACGATCTTTATTGAGATCCCGATTTTGACAACCATGTATAGAACTGCTAGGCTAATATTAGAGAATCGTAAATCCTACCAATAGCTAATTATGAAAAATATAATAATAAGTACCATAGCTTGCAATAATGGTAAAGCTTGAGATACTCTCTTTGACTGGTTTAACAAATAGCAAGATCAGCAATTGGATTAAAGAGTTGAATAGAACGTAAATTTAAATAAAACAACAGAGGTTTTGTTTTCTATAAACTCAATTTCAGTAACTCACTAGTCTAAAATTAACCCCGGATGTCTTTTAAATATAATAAATAATTGAATAGTTGAATTGGATTCATTTTCTAGTCAAATTTAATTCTTATTCAAGTGAAAAATCAATTTATTATCTAATTGTTCTCCAGCTCACATTGTTGGGTGTCTGACTTGTGTCAATTTGCACAAACCAGAGTATGAATCGAGCAGTTTCTATAGCCATGCTAACAACTGTATGATTAGAGAAAACCTGCTAGTTCATTTTGTATTCTTATTATGCTCCTAATCCCTACTCTAGTATTTGCCTATTGATAACCACTGCACTTTGTTGGTTGTGGCAGAGGCTGATGGTGCCTTGGATAAAGCAAGAAAGCACAAGAAGAGGCAACTTCAAGATACACTTAATCTTGTCATGAAGAAGAGGAAGGTAACAATTCATATATGTCTGTTTTGTTGGGCCACTTTGTCTATTCTAGTATACACTTTGCAGATTTTCCTGTAGTTTGTTTATGTGCAAAATCATGTTATTTCTTGAATGTAAAAAAGATAAAACAGTGAGAATGTTCTCTGGATTGTTGAAGCTAATATCCAAACTGTTTTTTTTCTCGATGAGACTATGACACTTTTCAATAACCTGATCCTATCAACTTTGCAGAAGGTTTCTTATCAAACTTCTTTCCCATATGTATAAGTAAAGGAAGTCTTATATATGAAAATAGTCATTAGCTCGTGACATCACAATTCAGAGAGTACTTGTTCACTCTGTTATGATGCAATTTTTTTCTCTGTAGTCTCACTTTTCTTCGTCATATTGTTATCACATGAAGTTGTTGCATTTTCATGCCTCTGGAACATTGCCTCTTAGGTTTATCGTTGCCTCTAAATGGTAGTTTGTCAGTACTGTCAAATAGCGGGCATGGCGGATTTTTCGCCAATCACTATGGCCAATTTGTGAAAAAAGGGCATGGTGTTTATGGTTGAAAATGGCGGCGTTAATTGACAATTTTTTTCTTCCTCCATCGGCAATTGATAGCAACACTGCTTGGTTTATCAGAGTGTGACAGAAATGGGATATTGTCGACGAATGAAAATAATCACAACCTTATAACCAAGAGAAGCATATACCAAGCACATGTAATGATGCAAAAAATTTATTTTTTCTTATTGTCTATGCCTGTTTTTCTCTTCAACATAATTAAGAAACTTCTTTTTATCACGTATAGAGTGGTTGCCAATTACATGACTCTGAAAACCAGCTGTAACAAGCACCTTGGTTGATGTACCATTCTTCTTCTCAGTAGGCAAGTTCCACTAACTGTAGCTGAAGGGACCTTTTGGGTTTATCACAATCTGTAAGTGGTAGTGTTGCTGATCTTTTCTTGGTCCTGTGTAAAAGGTTGTGCGTTTGTAGTCATAGGCTGTAATGAGTTTCCACTGAAACAAACTTGTAATGGGTTGCTGTTAATTTTGACTTCAGACAGGCCCAAGTAGTTTTTTTGGTTTACATTTAAGTCTTGATTGGTAAAAGGAAAACCCATAACTTTATGGAAATAAGACATGAACTTGGTTTCATATTTTGCTTTAGTAGCTGAAGCTGCCTGTTTTGTGCATTTATATTGCTTTAGTAGCTGAAGCTGCCTGTTTTGTGCATTTATATTGCTTTAGTAGCTGAAGCTGCCTGTTTTGTGCATTTATATTGCTTTAGTAGCTGAAGCTGCCTGTTTTGTGCATTTATATTGCTTTAGTAGCTGAAGCTGCCTGTGTTGTATCTTGTATGCATGATTTTATTAAATAGTTCTATTGATTGTCTAAATCTGATATCTTTTGGACAGGAATATGAAGAAAAAATGCGAGACAAGGGTGAGGCTCCTGTTATGTTCAGGTAAAAATTTAGGGTTATTTTCAATTACAAATTTATGCCCTATTTGTTTCTCTGTAGTTTACAAATACTTGGATGTATTTTGAGCAGTCATTTGGGCCCTCCTCGAAGGAGAACAAGCGCTGAAGAGGAAGAGAGAGTTAATCACCCAAAACCAGAGGTATGCTTTCATTTGTTCTTGTGTGCATTTTTGTCTAGGCGTTGTAAACGTTTTTTTTTTTTTTTTGAATTTTTTACTGATTTTTACTACAGGACTCTGTTTATTACCATCCTACCTTAAATCCTACCGGGGCTCCACCGCCAGGAAAACCCCCTATGTTCAAATCGTCTATAGGTATGCTGAACTTCTTTTTCATATTTGACTGGTAAAATAATGTATTGGTAAATGATATTGTTTTGACATCTTCATTTAATCTGTTTTCATGCTGAGCTGCAGGACCTAGAATTCCCTTGTTTGATGGTTCATCAAGTACTGCTGCATCTTCCTCGGCAATAGAGTCCGAGGATGGTGTATTATCCGTACCTCCACCTCCCCCACCACCACCACTGCCTGATGCTAGTTCAGCTGATGGTACTGTTTTACCTGCATCTTTGCCTCTGCCTCCACCACCTCCCATGCCTCCAAAGCCTGCTGCTGGGTTGCCTGCATCATTACCTCTGCCTCCTTTGCCACCTCCACCTCCCGGTCCCCCGCCTAAAGAACAAACTGTAAATCGGTCTTTACCGCCGCCTCCACCTCTACAACAGTCTCAGCCGCCTCCACCTGGCACCAATGAAGGTGAAGAAAGAAATCAGTCTGCATTGCCAGATAATCTATCTTCCAAGGAGCCTGGTCAGGTAGGATCATTTTTTGTTAAATGACTTAGACTTTATCTTTCAAGACATTATCTGGTTGTATAAGTATGAAAAGGATTTGAAATTATAGATGTACTGAAAGTTTAGAACATCGTTGATGCTGTCATGGGCATTTTTTTAATCCAAAATGATTCAGTATGGGGATGCAGATATTTTTTTAAATTTAGGATGTGAGTATGGCAGGGAATATTTAATAAATATTTTTGAAAGTAGTTTTTTGCTTACCAAATTAATAATAATGGTAAATATTATTAGTATGTGTAAGTTATCAGTTTTTTAGAAGCACCAAAAACATTTAAATGTTCTATAGGGTTACAAACAAATTTAAGTCTATTTCTTTATGTGCTAGTATGTTTCAGACCAATTTTCAGTGTTTTAAACATTTAAAAGTATGCTCAAGCTGAAAAAGAATAGATATGTAATGTATGCTGTTCTCTCTGGTTTGTATATGACTATCTGATATCTGACGTCACATTCAGGTATACCATATGCCCCTGATTTTTGGCTACTAGACACTTTTAATGGTTGCCAAATGCCCAAATGGGAACACATTACATTTGATTGCTCTTAGTTTGAAACTCAGGCTTGTATGATAATACTTAACACAAGTCTTTAGAAATAACTTTTTTCTTTCTTTCTGAAATGTAGGTGCAGCTTCCTCCGCCTCCTCCCCCTCCAAATCGTATGCCCCCAAATTCTAGTGCCATACAGTCAGATGGTGCTGTGGTTTCTACCGACAACAAGAATTCTCTGTCAAACCAGGAGATCCAGAAAATGGTTCCTGGGCCTCCACCTCCTCCTCCTCCCAGGCAACAACCTCCTGTTCCAGGACCCACATTAATCCCAACTTTACAGCCTGATGTATTGCCTCCTGGAATATCTCGGTTCCCACCACCCCCACCCCCACCTGATATGAGGCCTCCTCTACCTATGGTTGGACTTCCAGGTCAGGCTCCTTCTCCTGGAATGATGGTCCCCCTAATCCCAAGGCCACCATATGGTCTTCCACCTGGACCTCCTCCAATGATGAGACCACCACTTCCACCTGGCCCTCCTCCAAACTTTCAGGAAGAGGATCATATGGCAATTAGGCCACCTCCTCAGAAACCATCATATGTTAAATCTGCTGCTTCTACTGTTGTGAAACGACCATTAGCTCAGCACACTCCAGAACTCACATCAATGGTAAGTTGATTCAATTTGTTTTCTTACTTTTAGCTTTGCTTTTATTTCAGTTAGCGAATTTTATTCTTCCTCATACCTTTAAAATATAATCCGTTTTCCAGTAAAGTTTCTTGCAGTAATGTATATTAATATTTCTGACTGCTCAATAAGCTAATGGCAACATACTTTAAACATTCTGATGCCAATGTTTGAGTCCAGAATAAAACAATTGTGTTGTTTGTAGTAATGCATGAAAACAACAAATTTTTTGTATTAGATCTATCTAAAAGAAACAATCACAATATTAGGGAAATGTAGCTTCTATGCAAGATTTTCGAGCCTCTCTAACTCCAGATATGTTATCAAGTACACAGAATTTAAACAGCTAATTGCTTTATTTGCTGTGCGTAAAAGGGTTTCGTTAATGGCAAAGAAAAGTGGATAAACTGAACAACGGCTTACGCACTTGACAATTGTTAGGGCATATGGGGAGCTATTTGGTCCATTGGCCCAAAAGAGTGGCCGGAGCATTTCGTCATCATGTATCACATAGCCTTAAGATTTGGAAAGTTTATTCCAAAAGAAATAGAGTGAGATGTTATGTTGGCAGTTAGAGAATACATTTTGAGGTTACGGTTTGAAGAGTCCGAGTGCAGAATAAGAAGATGCTTTTAAGAATCCTGTTATTTTATTATAGATGGAGGAGATCTGTAGCTCTCTATACCAAGGTTGTCAAGATCGGGATCATTTTTAAGATCGCGATCTTATTTAAGATTGGGAGAGAATAGCAAGATCGTAAAATACAAAATCGCAGCTAAGATCAAAATATCCTACCTAATTATTTTTGTAAGATCGAGAGAGTAGCAAGACCGTAAAACGTAAAATAGCAACAAAAATTGTAAGATCCTACTAAAATGAAAAAATAGTACTATATGTCTAAAGTATTTTTACATATATATTTTAGTAGGCAGATTTATTCATGGGAAAGTGACTTCCATATTCTTCAAGCATGTATGATTGAGTTTTTATATTTTATTACTACCACATGAAGCATTTGTTAGACAGGGTAATTGGTCAATTACTAGGTTTATCATAAGTCAATTATTTAAAACAACAGTGCAATTGAGATGTTTATTCTCTAAACCCTAAATCTAAAAGTTCATCACTTCAAAATACATGTATTCATCGCTTCCGAACTGTAATTGTTGTGCTTTTGCATCTTGTCATCCTTTTCAGTTTATAATGATTGTTGCCGAAAACGGCCAATCATGGCTGAAACAGGCAAAGATCGCACAGAAATCAATGGTTTTACATTATTTTTACAATTTGGCTACAACATGTGATTCTATCAAGATCGAGATTGTTGGGGGTGAGTGAAATCATAAAATCTTAAGATTTTGAGATCTAGATCGAGAATTTGACAAGCATGCTCTGTAGGAACTTAGCTCTATAGCAGTAGGAGCAATACTGGCTGATTCCTTAAATTAGCGATTGTTTTATACTATACAGAAGTTCAGAAAATGAGGACAAATTTGAATTCTAGAGGACAAATTTGAATTCTAGAGGACAAACTGTCTTAATGAGATGTTATCTGAGTATCTCTTATAAGTTTAATAAATTAACAGATTTCCTAAATTTTTTATGACAACTTAAACTGGCAGTTTTTGTTAATTTTTTATTTATGTAATTCTTCTAATTTAGTCTGGATCATGTTTTTTTACTAGGTTCCTGCGTCCGTGCGGGTGAGAAGAGAGACTGCAATGACCAAAACAAAGCCAAAACCGTCTGTGTCAACGTCAACATCTAGAACAGTCTCTGCACCACCAGCGCCAACTATTGTAAAACCAGACTCAGTGAGCTCGTCATCTGCTCCAAAAGCACCGAGCATTGATGACTCATACTCGGCTTTCTTAGAGGACATGAAAGCACTTGGTGCCCTTGATGGTTGAGATCATTGTGAGTGGCAGTCGCAAAACAGGGAGGATGTGCACAGTAGTTTGTAATCATGAATCACTCATTTGACAATTTATTTTAAAATTTCTTGTTGATAAAGTATTTAGTACCTTACAAGCTCATGTGATTCTAATTCATATCTTTTCTCTTTAATTTAAATTGGTTCACTGTTATTTTACAGCAAAATTGGTGCACTGTTGTAGTTTTATATTGGTTGTGAACTTGTGATGGATGAACTTTTTAAATGGTTTGCCACCGGAAATGTTACAATTGTTTTTAGGATTGTGATTATGGTTTAGAATTTTATCCCTATTGTTTTTATTGTATTATATTTTAAATGAAAGTTGTAAATTGGATCTTTTCTCTCAAATCAGTCAAGAATTCTTAAAACATTGAGTGTGGCAAACTAGTTTTTACATATTTCTGAAATAGAAATTTGATTTTTGACATTAAATAAAGGATTCTTTTTTTTTCTTTAACAACTATACTATTTGACGAGTCTTGATTTGTAAACAATTCCACTTGTACTTATAAGAATAGCATCTGTTAATCAACTTAAATAATAAAGTAATTGGTTTAATATTGTTAGCATCTTTTCATTCCAAAACAATGCAATTCCATGATAAATGTTCAGTTCAGATTCAAAGCTGGAGCGTGTTTAGGCGAGTGCTGTTTGAAATGCGGCTTTCAATATTTATTAGCTTAACAAAGAGATTGGTCATTCAAACTGAGTTTGGAACCATTAGCATCATGTTTTGGAAAAGTACTAATCCATTCTATAATTGAGAAGTTAATATAGCAAAACATTTTTTACTTCCAGCATTGTATTCGCCAATAATACAATACATCATTGCTAACGTGCACACATATCACTCATTATATCTGTCTGTTCACATAAAAAAAACATATTTGTCAATTTATTTGACTTATGGTAATTTGACTTTACAATAATCCCAAGTGGATCCTTTCTTCTATGAGTTAAATATTGAATATGAAGACGAATATGCTTTTCTAGTGCTTGGTTAGAAGTTAGAAACTGATTCAAAACAGTACTACAACCCTATAATAATATTTCATTAGCGCACCATTAATTAATATAACATAAAGCTTTGATGAACCAACCAACATCACATGTATTCCCACACCCACTTGGGTTTTTAGAACCCGAGTTTGTCTTTCTTTGTCATATATTTAATGGACAACAAGTCAACTAGGGAAGGTAAGGCCAGGTCTGTGGGCCACACACACAGCACTCATACCGATAGGGTTGAATAAAAATATGTATTGATGATTGAATGTGACTTTTGATTTTTATTTCTAAATTTAGAAATTGGTATTTGGAGTATGTTCTGAGATTTATGTGAAAGTGAAGCATAGATTGAACTTGTTTTGGCGCCAGCCATGATGACTGTTCTTTCCTTAGGTTTCTTGTTTTGTTGCTGTCTTCTATTCCTGCTTTTGGACTCTTCAACTTCACTTCCTCTATGTGTTGATTCAAGTATGTCTCTATCTTTTCTTCTCTCTTTTTTTTGTGTGTTTTTCGGTTTTTGTTATAGATGTGTATTTTTCTGTTTTGTTTATAGGGGCACCCTTTAGTCTCAATTCCACACTCAAGTTTTGTCCTTACAATGGAAGTACTTGTTGCAACTCCATACAAGATCAACAAATACAGAAGCAATTCAACCTCATGAATGTTTCTGATACCGACTGTGCCTCGCTTTTGAAATCGATACTTTGTGCGGTAAGGTTTTGTTTATCTGCTAGTTAGTATTTAGTAACAGCTGTTTTTCAATATAGCTAGCTAACTTTGTTTTGTTTGCAGAAATGTGATCCTTTCTCGGGGGAGCTGTTTACAGTTCAATCTAAGCAAAGATCGATTCCTGTGCTTTGCAATTCCGCAATTCCAGCAAATTCTTCGCAGTCAAAGGCCTCACTGCATGATTTCTGCTCTGAAGTATGGAATACTTGTCAAACCGTGTCTATCATAAACTCGCCATTTTCGCCTTCGTTGCAAGGTCAAGGAGGAGGATTACCAGCTAATACCAATGCAACAAAACTAAATGAACTTTGGCAGTCAAAAACCGATTTTTGCAATGCACTCGGAGGAGCCTCTAATAATGTGTCTGTGTGCTTTGAAGGAGAACCTGTTGTATTAAATAAAACTGATGCTCCTATTAGTCCTCCTCATGGATTGTGCCTTGAGAAAATTGGAAATGGATCTTATCTCAATATGGTTGCTCATCCTGATGGCACGAACCGTGCGTTTTTCTCGAGTCAAATGGGTAAAGTTTGGTTGGCAACTATTCCGGAAGAAGGATCAGGAGGACAACTGGAGCTTGATGAGTCAAGTCCCTTTGTTGATCTAACTGATCAAGTTTATTTTGATACTCAATTTGGAATGATGGGAATGACATTTCATCCAAATTTCGCAAACAACGGACGTTTCTTTGCTTCGTTTAACTGCGATAAAGATAAATGGTCTGGATGCAATGGAGTATGTTCTTGTAACTCAAATGTTAATTGTGATCCATCAAAGCTAGGTGCTAGTAACGGCGCTCAACCGTGTCAATATCAAACTGTTATTGCAGAATATACTGCAAATGGAACCGCATCTCAACCATCCTCGGTACGCATTTTAACGTTACATATATATAAAATAATACTAGTTTCTATAAGAATAAAACCATCTAATCGTTATTATTGATTTTTCAGGCTGAAAGTGCTAAACCAACTGAGGTGAGAAGGATATTTACCATGGGCCTACCATTTACATCTCAACATGGTGGTCAGATACTCTTTGGACCTAATGATGGATATTTATACTTCATGATGGGAGATGGAGGAGGAACAGGCGATCCATACAATTTTTCGCAAAACAAGAAATCGTTGCTCGGAAAGATTATGAGACTTGATGTAGACAACATTCCAAGTGAGTAGTAATACACCCTAATGTAGTGTTGGATATGACTCATAGTTTACCTGCTTATTTATAAGGCCGCTCGAGTTGGCGACCTGATAAATGGGCAGATAGGTCGCTTACCTGCTTACTTATCGGTATACTATGAGCATTGGAAAGTTTTTTGAGTACTGATAGTATTTTTCTTAATCCCTTACTCTTGACGATTAAATCTATCATGAACCGTCAGGTGCATCGGAAGTTAGTAAACTTGGGCTTTGGGGTAGCTATTCCATTCCTAAGGATAATCCATTCAGCGAAGATAAAGATCTGGAGCCTGAAATATGGGCCTTAGGATTAAGAAATCCTTGGCGATGCAGTTTTGATTCGGAAAAACCTTCCTACTTTTTTTGTGCAGATGTTGGACAGGTTTGTGAATGCTTATATCAAATTAAATTTCAGAAATGATATTTCTACATATGAGAATTCTGAAACTTGCACAGGAAGTTAATGACATTCCTAATTAGGCTTTATAGCATATGGATTTTTGTTAGTGAATCCACCAAGATTGTGTATCTCATTAACTGCGATTTTGTACATTATTAACTAAGTTGTCTGTTAGCGAACTCCAATAGATGTGAAATGCGATGTTCTTAGTTACATGATTGATTTGCAGGATCTTTATGAAGAGGTGGATCTCATCACAAAAGGTGGAAACTATGGCTGGCGAATTAACGAAGGACCCTATCCATTCACTGTTACAGATTCACCTGGAGGCAATACCTCGATTAAATCTATAAATGCAATTGCCCCCATAGCAGGATACAACCATTCTGAAATAAACAAGAATGAAGGATCTGCGTCGATCTCAGGGGGATATGTTTATCGATCCATGACCGATCCTTGCATGTTTGGAAGGTACATAAGCAATTTCTTTTCCTTTATGGTCCTCAACTTGTTTTCATATAAGGCAAACAGACAACAAGCTGCGCCGTGTTGCAGTGACATAGACATCAAAAACCTTGATATCGCGTCTCATATTTTAAAACCCTTTGATGATTTCAGGTACCTGTATGCTGATCTTTACGCGGGTGCATTATGGGCTGCGATCGAAGACCCTGAAAATAGTGGAAATTTCACAACTAGCCGAATTCCTTTCGGTTGTGCACACGATTCACCTATACCATGTGAGATAGTACCTAGTAGCTCCCTTCCAGCTCTTGGATACATCTTTTCATTTGGGCAAGACAACAAGAAAGATGTTTATATTCTCGCAAATAGTGGCGTTTACCGAGTTGTTCCTCCGAGCCGCTGTAAGTACACTTGCTCACAGGAAAAAGTATCAACAACTACCACTCCTCCTTCTCCTTCTCCATCTCATGCAAGCCATTGGAGTAACTCTTATGGATATATTTTTCTGCAGCTCTCGTCTTTGTTGTTGCTTGTGACGAGTTTTATGTAATATATGTATATGCTGATTATGATAACTGTTAGTTACTGATAGAGAAGAGAATGTTTTATTCACATGTTATTTCTTGCTTTCGACTCTCTTGCCTCTCCCTTTGAGTAAGTCTAATAATTATGAAAGTATAAGATGATGCCATTTCCAATTCTTTTTGTCACTTTGTTAATAGTAAAAGAGTTTGTCATTATGTTGTTACTGCTTAACACTACTAATTGGTCATATCAATCTGGTACAGAATCTTCAATAATGCAGGAAATGCCACTACAGCAACGTGTTGTCCATTTCTATGTTTTAAACCAAATGATCATAAGCTTTATGGACTAGAAGCATTGACAGTTTCATAGACACTTCTTAGCTGCATAATAGTCCAACATATTGTTATCATTGTTGTTGAAAAGATATGATATAACTGTTCAACTCAACTGTTTAAGTCAAGCTTTTTTCTTATGTTAAAAGTGGAGTACACAATCATGTGTTCATCACAAGATGAACTCAACAATAAATAAAGGGTGAAGAATGATAATTTTTTTTTTAAATAATCAGTTTTTTCAAAAAAAATAAAATATCAAAACGACTATTTTTATAAAAAAAAAAAGTGGATACGTAGACGATGCATTTATGTCGGTGGTGCATGCACTTCATTTTGTAAGAAGACGCTATTACCTATGACGCATGCATTTCTGTCATGTCACCGGCTCTGGCGCATGCACTATAATTTAAAGAGCAAGTGCCTCATAAGCTGGCTGTTGTTTTATTTTATTTTTATAATTTATAAATAGGTCATCTATTTACCACTCATATCTTCATTTCACTCTCAAACATATCTTCAAAAAACGTCTTATATTATCAAAAGATATGCTCAATTTTTTCGCCAACAAAGCCTCCGATGAAGATCCGACTTTGGAACACAAAGACCTTCGAGTATTTTCAGAGGAACTTGATCCGTTGGTTAGATGGAGATATTTCTGACGGTGAAAAGATTAGAAGGATTGATAGGTTTGTTACGATGTTCAACTAAAATGGACAATCGTTTCTGGGAGCCTGATAAAATCGACAAAGATGTCTGTATGATGATGCATATATCAATTGATATTGTCTTAATGGTTATAATCTCTTAGATATGTTGATGTGTTTAGTCATTTTATTTGTTTATCGTGTTGTTATTTTATGCGTGATTGTCTTTATTTTGTTGGACCTGAATGTTGTCTTGAATATAGAATGAAAGTTGAATTTAATATGAAATTTCATGGTTACAACAAATAAATTACATATCAAGAGTGACATATAATAATTATGTGGAGGAGCTTAACCCATCATTGACAATTTTTTCGATCATGTTCAGTTGGCAGCATGTACTGCACACATTTTGTTTCTCGTATTCATTTCGGTTTGAATATGTGTGCTATTAGGGCGGTCTTTTTTCTTTCTTCGCATAAGTTCATTGTGTCAAACAATATCTCCTTGATAAGTAGTCCAGTAATCCTCCTTTGCTACCATCGAGAAACTATTGTTGTACATATTTAATATATTCCTGACTTTGTAAACGGGAGATAGATGTCCGAAAGGGTCCAGACGAGTATGTGAACATGTTGCTATGACATGAGAGCAAGACATACGAAAGACTACAATAACACCGACCTCTATCTAATTAAATCCGATAATATCCCCTTAACCTTTTCTCATTATGGTCCATTGTCTCCTGTACACTGAACCAAACATTGTAACATCATTGTAAGATAATAGCCATGTGCGGCACACGCCCCTTAAATTATAATGCATGCATCCTCCTCCTCTGAGGCATGACATAGGTGCATGCACTACATGCAATAGCGCCTCTTTACAAAATAGAGTGCATACGTCATACGTCCAATTTTTTTTTTTGAAAAGTAGTTATTTTAGTAATATTTTTGAAACTATGGTTATTTGAGAATTTATTTTTAAAAAATTGATTATTTAATTTTTTTTGAAGAATGATAAAAGATTAATTTCTATTTGAATAGTCTTTAATACACATTAATTGAATCAATTTAGACACTTGTGTGCAAAAATATAGTTAACTTGATTATATATAAACAATTTGGTAATTAAAAATTAATTTAAACTGTTGTTTTAAAGAATATTATTATTTAAAATATTTTATTAAAAAAATTGAAAATTAATTTGTTTAAAAACTAGTTTTATGAAAATAAAATAAATTTGTAAATTTTTTTGAAAAATAAAATTTATTAAAAAAAGAATTTTTTTTATCAAAAACAATTTTCAAATAATTGTTTTTTCTTGGAAAATAGTTTAATTTTTGAAAATGAAAAAAAATATTTTTTTATTGGAAAAAATAAAAATAAAATTTATTTTCTGAAAATTAAATAAACAAATGAAATTCTTCAAAAAAATTATTTTAAAAAAAAGGGTTTATGAAAAACCGTTTCTGCAAAAAAATTTAAAATAATTACTATTATCTTTTAAATATTTTTTTTCATAAAAAAATTGATTATTAAAGAATTTAAAATATAAAATCGGTTTATGAATTCTATCTAATTATAAACTTGTTTATAACTACAAATTGTTTCTAAATTAATTTTAAACTGAATTGAAAGTAATTTTAAAATTAACAAATTTTTTTATAGAAGTGTTTATTGAAAACTGAATTAGTGATTTTGTTTAGTTGAGTTCATTAATCATGAATACCTAATTTCAGATGTTGAAGCAGTTAATTGTGCCTTAAACACAAATGGAATCAGACTGGTCTTTAAAGAATTGACAGTACACTGCAAATGAATACGAATCAACCTGACACTTAACTCCTTTGGTGGAATACTTGCTTGGAAATAAGCAGTCATAATAATTGAAAAAATTTAGATGAAATTTTTATAAGCTGAGGTATCGATGTGCAACAATTAAAGAAGATATTAGATTTCTTCTAAATGCGAGTGATATAATTTGTTTTGATAAAAGTTTTAGAAAAGTTTTATGTATTCTTCTAAATGCATAAAACTTTTATATGATTGGTCTTTGTTTTTTCCTTTACCAAGTTTGAAGGTAATGTGTTGGCCTTTGGGTTATTTGTATTTCCGAACACATCTATCAACATGTTTCAGTATTGCATCTTCAAAGACATCTTTTTCTAGATTTTATAACATAAACGTGGAATTTGAAATTTTTGAGGTAGTTTTAGATATGCACATCTGAAACATGTTGATACGTGATTTTGGAAATACATCTTCGAAACTTTTGCTGTTTGTTTCATTTTTATTTACAACAACATCGTTACACCTGCCATATTAACAGACAAATTTTTTTCGTAAATATGAAACGAACATAACATTACGGAAAGTGCATAACGATTATATTAGATGTTCAAACATATGGAAACATAATTTAGTACATAAGTTGTTCAGAAAGTGCATAATGTAAAAACTATTACATCAGTAACAAAAAATAAAACATGACATAGGCTACTGCTACTGCGTATGTATGATCCTCACCCCATGTGACCTCCTCTACCGACTGTACTGCACCGCACTAGATGCCTCCCTAATCATCCTCTCAACTATGACAACCGCCTCAGGATCACCCCTCTCGATGATACCAGAATCTAATGCCTCATGTACAAGTAGGTGTATTCAATGACAGACTGACAAAAAATCAGTGGCATGGTCATCCTCGGCCTGCTGGTTCTCCAAGATATCCTCATGAGCTGGCCTAGGTGGTCGTCCATGACCATTCAATGTCATGATAGGGCGTGACACGTTAAAGAACCATGTAACATAACTCTCTGCATAATGCCAACTCTGGGATGCCGACATCATCAGATACTCCTATGACACCAAATGATTCTACCAATCCTGAAAGATGGCATCAAGATCCCGCTGAACAATAGTGTCGGGAGCAGTCTGAAAAGGAGATCTCAGTATCATCTACACAAAGCCAAACTGTCAGATACACCTCTCTGAAAGATACCTGACTATAAAATTCGACCCACGTGCTATCCACCAAGAGTATAATGAGATGGGATTGAATGGGACAACATCCCTGTAATCCTCAAATGGCGTCCATTTGATATCATCATGGTTAGTACGGTCAAGATACAAACGGTAAGGCGGCACCTTATGGTTCCCTCTATAGAGGACATACATTGTAGCCCTCGGCATGTCGTCAGTATAACCTGAATCAGGCTCGAAACCATGAATGTGGTGGAAGGAGAGATTATCCAGCTCTGAAACAGAAAGCATAAAATACGCAAGTAAAAATTATAAAAAACAAATTAACGGTAAAAGTTGAAATGAAAGCTACCGTGAGGAGTGTGCAAGAACCAGTGAGTTGTCTCACCCTCCACCTTGAAGCTTCATTCAGCTTCTAGTACAGGTATGCCAAAATGGTGGCTCCCCAGTTCCATTCATGAACAATACTCAGATCCATAAAATACCTGAGATATGTCATATCTATGTAGTAGGAACTTTTATCCACAAAGAGGGACGTACCAACCATAAACATGAAGTAACACCGTAAATCACAATCTCAGTGGTACTGGACAAAAACCTCATCACCCTCATCCTCGGCCGCTGCTGCAACCAGGTGTTCTTCATATAGATCCTTCAGGTGTGCAAATTTTGCATGTGCCCCATTTGTGCTTCTGCAGTCCTCACCTGCGCTATGTGGATCAGCACCCATATACTCAATCATCCATTCGATCGCCTCTACTCGTGTTATCTTGTGATGGTTAAGTAACCTCCCTCTGATAGGTAGATGGAGCAAGCAAATAATGTCATCAAGTGTGATCTTCATCTCCCCAACAGGAAAGTGGAAAGACGATGTCTCCTTGTGCCACCTCTCAACAAATGCACTATGCATTCCATGGCTTATAGTATTGTAACCAATACAGCATAGTCCAGCAAGTCCGAATCCAACAACGACCTCATGGAACCAATCGGCCGCAAATATAAACAACTCAAATATTTTCTACGAGTAATTCACAGACTTAATTGGCAACCGTTCCTGAAATAAAAAAATAATTGTTAATTATAAATCTGTGACTAAACCTATATAATGAAAAAGTGTAACTAAAAAAATAGCTCTCAATCCCAAACATGCCGAGCGACATGATCATTATAATAGATCAATAGGGAGGTGTGTTACACTGTGTAAAAATGTGAAAAATGTAGCGGTAAAGATTTGAGATTAAGTAATCAATTGACTTATCTCACTCAATGAAGTCGCCATCGCACTTTATTGTTTCAAAAGGAAATGAGAAAAAAGCGAACAAAACCCACAATGAAATAAAAGATTAGAGATCGAGGTACGAGGGTCGGTTATGCTGAGGAAAGATATTAGCATCCTAAGCATCTATGGTACTCTGCATGATCCACTTTGTTTCTTTTCTTTCAAAAGGTGTGTTATCTAAAGGCTTACATGCTAAAGGGAAAGAATGAATGAGTATTTACAAACAAATGAAAATAAAATGATTTTTTAATTATTTTTGCTCGCCTTGGGTCGTAAGACTTAGTGCTTACGTACTCCCTCGTGCAATGGGAAAGTCAGAGCACCGTAGTTTGGCTAGAAAAGACTTATCTATTGGTTGATTTTAAACGAAGAGACAAGTCGTTATTTTTAGAAAAGAAATCTCAACTAACACCCACAAGGTGTGAGAAAGATGGACCCTGCGTAAGCAAGAGTGAGGGCTTGAGAACACCTCTAGTACTCAATTGAAAAAGCTGACACTTTTATAACCATGGGGATATGAGGATGAAATCTCGACTATAAATGAATTATGTCTAATCTTGGAAAAAAAGTTTTAAAAGGTAAAAGGTGCTCGAGCACACAAAAAGGTTTGAATGAAGTTGAATGTTTTTTAGTCTTTTCGAAAGATGTCAAAGTATGATTAAATGAATTGAAGTTTGTTTAAAGAAAAGAAGTTTTAAAAGAAAATGAACTCCACAAAATCGAGGTTTATTATGAAATCGGTTCGAGTTTATAAACAAAAAAGATTTTGAATAAGATGAGAAGATTTTGAAAATTAAAGAATGGGAGGAGATGAAGAGAGTATCCTATGTACATGAGAAGTAAAAGATAAGGTAAAGAGGATCTGACCGAATAAGAAACCGGTACTTGACATGATAAAGTCAATACAATGTTCTCACCCCTTTGAGTGTAAAGCCATAGACAGATAAATAAGCCAAAAATATATCAAACCTCGGGTAAAAATAAATCATAAGCCGACATCATCAAAGAAACCTAAATGTCAGATAATACTCCAAGCATCAAATAAAGCATATCGAATCATAAGCGAGGAGCACAACACATGAAAATAAATCACGAAAGAAGAAAGTATGGATAAGCCCGAGAGGAATCAGATAAAGCGTAAAGGCGACGAATAATGCTCATGGTATCGAATAAGACTCGAGATATCGAATAAGAATCTCTGTATCACATGAAATACACAGACAAATCCAACAACACGGGAAAACTTATTCAAAATCTTAATTAAAACTCAAGTGTAAATTACTGAACATAACACTTTATTAAGTATTTTTTTTATAATAGATTCATATAGAAATCAACTCTAAGTGGTCGGGCAAAAATATATGCGTCCATATGATTTTCAAAAGTTAACTTGAATTAAAGTTTAAAATTGTAACGCAATGAAAAAAATATCAACATAACTTGATTTTTTTTACAAGAGAATGAAATAAGATATAAAAATCTAATAAGATATAAAATCAAAAGTGAATGAAATAAGATATAAAAATCTAATAAGATATAAAATCAAAAGTAATATGTATATTTATATATTTACATTACTAAATATTAAAATCAAAAGTACTATGTAATTTGCATGTTTATAAAATCAAAAGTACATTATTAAATATTAAATTGAAATAGTAAAATAAATACAATGAAAATATAAATAAAAAAATAAAAGGTATAGATGCGCAAAGAGAAAAATGAATGCTTGAACAATTCTTGGAAACCTTCACAGTAACAAACTCTTAGTAGCATAAGAGAGATTAAATGAAATCAAATGAAATTACAATAATTAAAACATATAATAGTAATCACAAGGTATAAAATCAAAATAAAATTGTATATGCACATGAACAATTAAAAAACCAAGCAAATGATTACTCAATGTACCCAATAAAAATCAGCATGACATTCAATGTTCTAAACGCATTTAAACTCAAGTAAACGCAACAGTAAACATGGTCATCAATTCACAAATGAGAACAAAACTCAAGAACTCATTCTATAATTCAATTCAATTTCAATACATGAAAAATCAAGCTTAAATCAAGCATTATTCATACAAATCAAAAGCTGGACAACAACAAATTATTCATAAAAAGCTCATGAAAATCAATTTCCAAGTGATTTCAACCTTATATATAAATACCGACATCAACCAACGAATTTTGTGAATTAAATTCAACTTGAAACATCATCAAAACTACTTTTAAAATGAATCAAACAACAAGACAACATCAACACGGAAAATTCAATATTAATCAACTCATGTCATATTCACATTAAGTGATTAAAAATAAGTTTTGAATCAAAGTTTCAACGATATAAATCCAGACAGCAACTCAACAACATGTCGGTGCTCCAAAATTAAAGCAAAGTCTCAATTCAACTTCAACAATTTAATCCAATTTTAATATCATTTTCAATACTTGAATCAACTTAAGTTAGAAAACAATGTCACCCTTAAAATTCAAAGCTAGATTCAACAACCTTTCAAATTCTAAATTCAACATTAAGCTTGCAGAACCAAAATTGACATCAATAATTCCGAACAAATACTTATACAACAACCACAAAGTCCAATTCAACACACACCTTATCATAGCACCAAATTGATATCAATATTTCCAATTAAATTCAAATCTAACATGGTATCGATAATTTGCTATCGCCCTATACAACCAATAAAATATAATTACACAAAATTAGACATAGAATCGACATGAACCAAGAATTTGAAACTCGAACAGAATTAACATATTCAAATATGACAAAAAAATTTCTCATATGAAACTCACACAGCATACCATTAGGAGCTAAATTAATCAGCATCATTCATAATAAACATCGACATAATTGCAAAACAAATTTCACATACTTTAACAGTATACCAAACTGAAGAGAAATTAACAAATTATCACGATAATAGCTATTTAACTCAATATATCACAACATCTATAACGCATTGAATCAAAACTTAGAACTTGCCACAACGTTTTTTCAATGTAACAGTTATAACTCAAACTATTTTCATAGATTTTAGCACAAAATCAACTCAAAATTAAACCAGAATCATACACAGTATATCGATTCGACTTAGATTTTGTCACAGCAGTTTATCACAGAATTTCATAGAAAATCAAATCAACTCAAATAACCAAAACGGAATCGAAATTACCGTATGAAACTGAGAGTTGTGATGGTGAACTGTGTTAACGTAGCAGAAAAATGGAGAAGGTGGCGAGCTAAGTTGCTAGCGGTTGAAGAACTTGAACAGATGGATGTGTCGCGAGCTCAGTTTGGAGATTGATGGAGGAACGATTGGAGGAGCAGTTGACCGTGGTGGTGATGGGAGCTGTGGAAGTGATTTGTGGCTTGTTTAAATTGAACGAATGAAGGCGGTGGTGTGGGTCCGACGGAGGGAGTGTGAATTCGACGGTGAGGCTACGGTTGTTGACAGCAGGAGCAAAGAAGAAAAATAGCTGGTGATGGAGGAAGGTAGTGATGAGAGGGATGACTATGGTGGTTATCGGTGAGAAGAAGGATGGTTGATGTTGGATCGATGAACATAAGGCTGGTTGATGTTGGATCAGTGAGTTTGTGGGAACAGATTAGTGGTGGTGAGGTTGAATCGGTTGTCCAGTGGTTAACCAATGGAGGTAAGGTTGCAACGAGGAAGATGAAAGAGAGAGTAGTCTGTTTTTTTAAAACAAATTATCATATATCTAAAGGCAAGAAGAAAAACATAAAAATTTTAAAAATTGAAAACAAACGTAAAATGGGCGTAAAATGCACATATGCGAACGGAAATTAATTTAATATATGAATGCGAATGATAACAATTTGGGGTAAATTTAGGGTGCAACAGCTGCCTCTATTTAAATATCTTAAACCAAGATGATATGAAGATGACCAGTCTTCATATTATCATGGTGGGAGATAGTTAAATATTAAAGAATCTAGAATTTTACCCTGAGATGCAATGTGTATGCCGTGAATGAAATGTGACGAGAATGTGATGAATGCATGAATTATATATATATATATATATATATATATATATATATATATATATATATATATATATATATATATATATATATATATATATATATATATATATATATATATATATATATATATATATATATATATATATATATATATATATATATATATATATATATATATATATATATATATATATATATATATATATATATATATATATATATATAGACACACACATATATTTTGAATGATGAATGATATGAGACAGACTCTGGAAATATGGAAAGGATTTGAAACTGGAAATTTGCGGTATGACATGGAAAGACACGCTGGAGAAATACAAGATATTCTGGATATCTGTCAGGGTGACAAGGGGTAACCAAAAATACTTGCGAAAGAGGGAGATAAACTCTGAAAAGGTAAATAGCGACATCCAAGAATGGCATTAAATGGGGCGATAAACTCTCTGGAAAATACATCAAAGAACATTTAAAGATACATCAGAGTCATTCAGAAATGACACTGGACAGACAAGACCACGACATCTAATAACATGCTTTAGATGAAGGGAGAAGATCTCTAGAAAATACAATCAGAAACATCTAGAAGAACATTAAATATGGAGTAAGACTGAATATAAAGATATATCAAAGTCATCCAGGAATGACATTGGACGGACAAGAAAACACGGCATTCAATACTCTGCTTTAGATAAAGGGAAAGACTCTCTGGAAAATAGAATCAGAAACATCTAGAAGAATATTAGATGTGGGATGAGACCAAATCTGAAGCTACATCAGAGACGTCTAGGAAAGACGCTTGACTGAAAAGAAACCACGTCCAATAACCTGCTTTAGATGAAGGGAAAGATTCTCTGAAAAATACAATCAGAAATATCTAGAAGAACATCAAATATGGAATGAGACCAAACCTGAAGCTACATCAAAGTCATACAGGAAAGACGCTGGACAGAAAAGAAACCACGTCATCTAATAACCTTCTTTGGATGAAGGGAAAAAAATCTCTGAAAAATACAATCAGAAACATCTAGAAGAATATTAGATGTGGGATGAGACCAAATCTGAAGCTACATCATAGTCGTCCAGGAAATACACTAGATGGAAAAGAAACCACGACATCCAATAACCTGCTTTAGATGAAGGGAAACAACAACATCTAATAACCTGTTTTAGATGAGGGAAAAAGAAATACGACATCTAATAACATGATTTAGATGAAGGAAGATCACATCATCTAATAACCTGCTTTAGACAAAGGGAAAAAGAAACCACGACATCCAATAATCTGCTTTGGATGAAGGAAAAACAAGGTATCTAGAAATAGCATTGGCGAGGAAGAAGAGACAGACATCCAGGAATGGCACTGGAGTGAAAAGAGATAGACATCTAGGAATGGCACTGTAGTGAAAAGAGACATACATCCAAGAATGGAACTGGACGAGGTGAGAAATGCTACATTGGGGAATATGACATCTAAGAAAGGCGTTGAATAAAAGTGAGAAGTAGTGTATCGAAGAATAGTATTGGATGGAAAGAGAGACATACATACTAATATCTATTTTGGTAGGTGCCAAGTGAGTGGGACTTTGATCTCAAGGTAAGATGTTTACAGTAACAGGACCTCGCGAAATGTAAATGAGGATGAATCACTCTTGCTATGCATGTCATGTGAATGATATATGCATGTAATATGTAATGAAGATGTTTACGACAATGGAGCCTGACTCTTTTGTGGAGGTAAGATTGGAATACTGATTCCTTAACACGGAGAATTCTGCTAACTCTGCTTTGGAAAGAAAAAAATGTCTTGGATAACACTTCTGTCACACTTGTAAACTATATTAAACTGATGATCTTCTGAGGAAAGACTGAAGAATTGCATGAGGATTTCCCCAGATTAGCTGATTGTTGAGGATAAAACTGATCACGGCTTTAATGTTGTTAGGAATAAAATGATCATGGCTTCAGTTCTTGAAATAACCCAGGGAAAGGATTTCGCAAGTATGAGTATTGAAAGAGATCTTTTGACTAACCAATTTCAAGAATAACATGCATTGAGAAATAAATATTGAACTGATTCACAATTGAATCTGGAAGATACTTGCCCCTGATAGGATCACTGACTATGTTTCTCAACTGTCTGAAATTCCTTGATGAGGAAAACTTGTTTGTAAGCAAATATTTTTCATTCAACATGGTAATTTTAATACAAAAATTTCATGCAAAATTTTTGAATTCAAAATCATTTTTGAAATGATGTTATTGGTGTATAGAAAATGCATCATTGGTCAAAACACAATGGTTTATAGTTTTAAGAGTTGTGACTTATGATCTTTTAAACCAGAGGGTATCCACTAAAATCTCTCATGTTTCGAGAGTTGTGACTATTTTCCGAAGGCAACCAAAGCAGGAGTACCCTAGAGGTGCGCATGTGCAATTTTTTTGTATTCAGTTATTTATCTTTGCATTTAGGTTCACTAGCGTTTGATTATTATGTTCTTGCCATACAATCCTATTAGTCACGCATCTAGACAGTTAATAGTATGCGAGAATTATAAAGTGCGGAAATTAAATCCTACGCTATTACATCCTGTGGGCAATTACATAATAGAAAAATACGGAAAAATAAACTAAACTATTACAAAATTTCCCATGCAACCTATACAGTCTTTCTAGAATTTAAATGGTAAATAAATATAAAAATGATAAGAAAAATATAAAAATGTCTTGAAACCTTAAGCATTAAGAAAAATTATTTTTTGGTATTTTTGAGAAATAGAACTAAAATTGATTAGAATCTTAAGTCTATTGATTTTAAATTAAACAAAATGTTAAAGTAATTAATTAACTAATTTACAAAATTAACTTAATTAATAAAAATACTAACCTAATGTTTTTTTGATTTTATTTATTTATTAAAAGAAGATTAAATCTTGAAAGTAAAATATGAAACAAATAAACAAAACAAACTAAAACAGTAGAAGAGGAAAACACAAACGGGACTGCTAAAAAATAATAAAGGGGTGAAATGTTTGAAATTGGTCAGGCCCAAATAAGCTGACCCAGGGTGCGTTAGGATATGGTGAGAACGCATCTGGAGAGTCCACGGTGGGGACTGCATGCTGGAGGCGCTGAATCCATGTTGTATGGATGTGTTGGTGCTGATGGTAGAGTGCATAGTGCACATATTTGGACTTGAAGCGCCAGATATGTCAATATAACATAAGAAAAATAGAAAGGATGAAGCCTGGGATCGAACCCAGGTCCTCTAGCCCATCGCGTATTTCTTCACCACCCAACCATCTGCTTCAATTGTTAGTATAAACAACAAAACAATAATATATTTGAAACCCAGTCAGAAATATGTTTAAATAAAATAATAATATGCCATGGCCGAATGGAACAATTTCAAATGCCCAAACAAGTGGCAGATTTTTATCCTGATGTCAGTATTCGTATGTGAGGACTTTAACACACACAAACATGTTAAAACAATAAAAAATGCTTGAATTAAGAGATTGAATTTCAAAATTTATACCTATGGCCGATATACTTCGATATGCAATATTGAGTATGGAACCACTTTGTTGAAATTTGGAGAAAAAAGTTGGTGTGGTTTCTGGGGGTAATGTTTTCGTCTGGATGGTGGTGTGAGTGTCTAGAAAAATGTGTTTTTTGTCTGGAAAAAGTGTTTTCGTCTCTGCTGGCAACGTTTTTGTCTCCCAATGGTTTTTTCTCTGCCCCTTGGCAATGTGTATTTAGATCTGTATTTATAGAGGGCAATGGTGAATGGAAATGGCAAGAAACATCCATTAATCAGGCTTTGAAGGCAGAATCGAAAGCCTTAAAAAGGGTTGCCTTTTTTGAGGATTTCATGCCGTTTTGAGCTTTGAGTGAACCTGGAGAGGTTTCACTCCTTGACTCCTTCAAATGCCCTTAAGCCTTGTGTTGTACCCCAAAATTTGCCCTCTCCTTTTTCACAAGAAATCACAGCTCCGGGCTTTCCCTGATTTTCCCATTGGTTTTGAATCAGTCAAACAGACTATTAGGCTTTCTTTTGATTTGGTTGAGTTTTGCTCAGGGTTTGATCAAGCAGACGTTTCTTTGACAGTAAATCCAGAATTAGGGTTTGCACACACATTCTCAAAAGGAATTGAGTCCATAACTCTTTTCAATCGACTGTTACATTGTTTTGACGCTTGTTCAAGATTTCTGTTTGTTTCCCAAAGTCTAAACATATGGGATAGGAGCTGAGGCATTTGAATTGAAAGTTTGAAGCTTTAGTTTGATCAGTAAGGTAAAATGCATATGGACGTTTGTTTGTTTAATTGTGCAATACTTTTAGTTATTTGGAATGCCGGACGTATTGTTGGTTAATGCGAGGCTGTGAGACTGCGACGTTTGTTGGTTATTTATATTATCTGAGTTACAATAGTTGGGATGCATTTACAATTATTATAATTCAAGAAATTTAAATGATTAAATAAACAAGTGCAGAAGAAATAAAGAATTATCTGACAAAAAGATTTTTTGTTTATT